TATATATACCATACCATACCATACCAATTTATTTATATAGCACTTAAAACAGCAACAAGGCCAACCAAAGTGCTGTACAAAAGAACCAAACATGCACAGCAGACAGGAAAACATAAAATAGAAATACAGATACAAATAGCAGCAGAAGCTAACTAAAATGGCCAACAGAGTAGAGAACAGACCGGACCAAAACAAATCACACCGTGTTAAAGGCAAGCGAATAGAAGTGGGTCTTCAAGCAAGACTTAAAGACTGAGAGTGTGGGAGCCTGCCGGACGCTCAGTGGCAACTCATTCCACAGTCGTGGACCTGCAACAGAGAAAGCCCTGTCACCTCTGAGCTTACGACGGGTTTCTGGGACTGAGAGAAGCATCTGGTCTGCTGACCTCAGAGAGCGCGGTGGGACATATGGCTGCAGAAGATCAGTGAGATAGGATGGGGCGGAACTGTTCAGTGATTTAAAAACATACATGAGAATTTTGAAATGGATCCGAAGGTGAATGGGTAGCCAGTGCAGGGAGGCCAAAACTGGCGTGATGTGCTCTCCGTTCATATATGTATATATCAGGGCACTAACAGAGTACTCGAGTAATCTACACATCGATTGCTAGGACATTTATCGAGGTTGAAAATGTAATGTCGAGTAACCGTAGTGACGTCATATTATGTGACCACCGTATGACCATAGGGGGCGGTGTTGCACTGTTTCAGGTCACAGAGTTTAGTGTAAAAATGTATATATATATATATGTATATATATATATGTATATATATATATGTATATATATATATATATATATTTAAATTTATCAAACACAAAACTGTGTTTAAAAAGAAAAGCTGAAACCGAGGGAAGTACATTCTATCTCAAGTCGGACTCTCAAGGACTGTCCTTAAGGTGGGAAAAGTTTCTCCTGTGGGGTCGCATTCCCCCCGCTGTAACTTCACACCTTTGGGCGAAGTTAGCTGAGCAGCAGTTTTTGAGAATGAAAGGAAAGGGAGAACTGAAACCCGACTCCACGAGGGTCTGCCTGTCTGCTATTGTGGATATTTTTATCCGTCGTGCGTCTGAGGCCGAGACACGGAGGGAAATACGAACCAGCCAACCCGAGCTGACAGTGAGGAGTCAGTCTGTCAAGAGGTCTGCTGCAGCCCCCCTCCTCTCCCCTCGCTGCCACAACACCCAAATGGATTGTCATATCAGATTTAGGCGTATAGGTTATTACACCCTTGGGTTCCTCTTTCCATACTCATCTGCACAACAGGACCCGTTTGAGGACTCTGCCTTCCAGTTCTCTCATTCTGGTTCTCAGAGTTTGTGATTTAAAAAAAATAAAACATAAAATTTACACAACTGTGGGGAATTCTGTAGATACTTAGAATCTGAAACCAATTTAAGCTACAAGAACACCATGAGTTTGAAACCTTTGTCTCTTAAATTGAACCTAAAACTTCATATTGTCTTTTTAGGAACTTTAGAATGAAACAGCTGATCTACATGGACCAGAAAGATTCTTGAATGTTACTCAAGTTTTGTTAAATGATCAGTTCTGAATTGGTTCTGATTAGGAGCTGGTCCCAGTCGGGTCTTTCACAGAATTCTGCTGAATTCTGACCCCTTCATTCTGACTGCATGAAATGGACTAAAGAAGAAACTACAAAGACTTGCAGCAGTACTTTCAGAGAACTGATACTTTGGAGTTACCACCATTCATAAAAATAAAAACAAATACGACAAGGAAATATGAATCTACTGATTGTTTCAGATTATTTATATCACTAATTTAAATCAAGCTTAGAGCTAAAAACAAACATATAGGCTGGAGACATTATTTTCAATTTAAGTTGCAGTTTTTTTATATTTTCCTTTCAAGTGACCAAACCTTTAAAAAAAAAATAAAAAAATAAAATAAGTAATAAATAAAAGAAGTTATGCTTTAATGTGTGGTTACATTATTTTTTTTTTTTAAACTTTGATGATAAATAGTAAAGTTTGACTCAGTCATTGTGTTTGTTATAAATAGAAAAAAGAGTAATGAGACGTATTTCTCTTCAGAGGTACCTGGCAGTATTGAGTAAAGGATGCTGGGTCCCCACCAGCTTCCTGACGTGCATGGCCACGTTACTCAGCTCGTCACTGAGCAGGCACCGCAGACTCATGAAGGAGGTCGGGTAACCCACTATCTTCTCCGCATCCGACACCACTTTGCTCCAGCTGGGAGATCCGGAGCTGGAGAACAAACTCAGACTCCTCTGTCCTCGGGTTATGGACAGAGACAGACGGGACAGTCGCGAACACGAAGCTGGAAACATTTTTTCTTCTTCTCAACTTTTATCTATTCCAAATACCTCGACGGGACTTAACAGCATAATTAAAAATGAAGTCAACACATTCCGCTTGCTGACATACAAAAATAAACCCGCATTACTTAAAAGTACATTACACTTGAACGATTTCAAGAGCGTACACTTGTTTCACAGAACGACAGGGCGCCGCCATCTTTGAAAACGTAACACTCTACGTCAAACTTTCACTTCCGGCGGAAGACCGACTTTTTTTTTATTATTATCAACAATAAACATAAAAAAGGTAAGACCGACTTTTAAATTATCCTTTTTTAAACATATTTTTGTAACAGTATCAAACTGTTAGATTATGACAAATGATCGTTTGAAAATTTTATAAAAAAATTGTTTGGATAAAACGCGTTTAATTTTAGCTAGCTTAAGTTTAATTTAAAAGCTAACTAGCTAGCTTTAAAATTAAACATGCCAATTTAAGTCAAACTTGAGCTAGCTAGCTACAGACTAGATTAAAACTGAAATTAAAAGGATAATAAATAAGAAATACTAAATTTATATAACAATTTGTGACCATGATGAAAAATATACTGCTTATCTGTGATTTGTCTTCAACACACAACCATCAATTAGTGTATTTAACATATTAATGACAAGGAATTGTTATAAATAAAATTAAAATAAAAAAATATATATTTTGAAAAGTTCATTACTTGACTTGAAATGCTTAAAAGTTTTTTTTACTTGAATTATTAATTATGAAAAGAAATTGGTAAAGAAAGTAAATAAAAAAATGGACACAGACAAACTAAGTCATCATTAGAGCAGATGAAGTAGAAGAAGTAAGAAACAAGTTTTATTGTTACACTGTTATTGTATGTTTTATTATCAATCATTGCACTTGTCAAATGTGATTTTTTTTTTTTTTTTTGAAAATTACACTACTGGTAAACTATTTTGTGTGTGAGACGCAAAAATCATTATATTACAGTATTTTGCAAAAGCAATGCTTTTGTTTAATTTTTTGCCTTTTTCTTATGTTTGAACAAGAAATTACACAACCTGTTGCATCACCCTTCAAATAAACAAACTGCACATTTTAATTCATGTAAATTTATGTAAATTTGACCTTGCTGATTCATTTTTTTTCTACAAATATCAGAAGAAAACAAGACTTTTTTTGTTTGTCAAAACAGTTAAAAACTCTGGCTCATTAATCCAATATTTTTCAGTCAGGTCATCTGGACAGTTTCTTTTTTTGTGCTGAAACGTTTCGCCTTCGGTCTGGATGACCTGACTGAAAAATGTTGGATTTTATACCTGAATTATTGAGCATGGACTTTGTTGTCTGGCTCATTAAGTTTGCAGAAGTGTATTTTAGTTCAAAAACATAAATGTTGTGTACAAAAGTGCACTTGTGTGCAGTTGAATGAATCATTGCACTTTACAGCTGAAGATGATGTGGCTGCAGGAACAGAATGAAGAAAGGATCTTGTGTTTCAGGTGTGCTGCAGCACATCTCAGCCTGACCCTACAGCACGGTTCACAGCTCCTGTTCCTGCAGATTCTTCCAGCTCAAATGGGTGTCACTTTGCCTTGAGCAGCCTCGCCCCTGCACTCTCAGAGGCTTCCCTCATTGTAATTCAGAAAAATGTTTAAAGCCAGAAAAGTCACACACAGAGCAAAAAAAAAAAAAAGAGTTATTAAAAGGCTCTTGTTTTGTTCCTTGTGACTATTACACAAATTTGGACATATGGATATCAGCGGAGAACATAAACGCACAACACCTTTTAAGTACTATAATCCAGTTTATTCCTTGTGGAATAGTGTACACATTTTTTTATGTGCTTCATGAAAAAAGCTCCATCTCTTCTGTTGAGTCTGGATCAGTGATTATTCAGCATCCTTTGATTCCTAGAGCTCAGTGTTCTGGTTGTAAAGTCAAAAACTGATGCCATTTTGTTTGAAGAAAAAAAAAGAAATTTTCTTTTTGTTTGTCTATAATCTCAGTGGTGGTTCTAGGGGGTGGGATGGAGTGGCAGCTGCATCTGTAAAACTATTTTGCCACCCCATTGCCACCTTATTTAAAGGCTGCTTAATGTGTTTGTTTTTGTACAATGCTGAAAGCCATTAACAACTGTCCAGTACTGCTGGTGCTTTTATGTTAAATTTCAGACAAAAACACAAAAAAAGTAAATTTGAAAATCATGTATAATTGATTTATTACTTGAATCAATATTGACCAAAATCAGTCGTCAAATTTGCAATTCCAAACTTAATGATTAGTTTAACTGTTCGGTGTCTATTGTCTTGTTCTTGGACTTTTTTGTGTTGTTTTAAGATTTATTTTTCTTTGTTGCTCTTTTTCTGTCTCTTGTGTCTTAAGTTCACCCTTCCTTTGTATTTTTCTAGAGCCAGTTTCTTCTCCTGCCATACACCTGTTCCCTGTTCCTGTTACTCTCAGCTGCAGCCACTTATCTCATCAGTCTCATCCTTTGTATGTCCTCAGTTCTTGCTCTGTCTTCAGTCTGGCACAGCTGTACTTTATGCCATATCGCTGTTGTAGCTGCTCATGGTAATTCACAAGAACCTGGATTTCTAGATGAAGAAGTTTTGCTTCCCACCCAGGAGGTTTCCCCAGTTCAAGAGCTCCACAAATCAAATGATCCTGATTCTGAACTGATAAAGCCTCCCGGGTGGGAATCGAAAAGTCTTCAGCTACAAAAGACGTTCATTAAACCTTTTTTTTTAAATTATTTATGCTATTTCTCCTCTGTGTCTCGAGTTGTTTTTGTTTTTGCTTACATTTTTACTTTTTCCTTCAAGCTCTTCATACTTGCCTGCGTTCCTGGGTCCATTCTCTACAAAAAGCAGTTGACTAAGTGTTGTTTTGAGTGTAGCCTAACATGCTCAGAGAGGAATAACCTGAAAGCATGAAATTAAATCAAGGAGTAAATATTTCCTGCTACTCTGAGACCTCATGCCCCGCCACAAATAAATAAGTCCGTGTTGCGCCTGAACTGAACTTTGGTTAAAGGTGAGCTTGTCCTGCAGCAGCAGCAGCAGCAGCAACAACTCCTGTTGAAGCACCTGTTTGCTGCGTGAGGCGGAGTGATGCTCTCCATGGGGAGCCGAGCAGAAGTCCTCTGATCACCAACGCGTCATATAATGTTTCAGCACGCTCCTCCTCCTGTCTCGTTTTCTCCCCTCGCTCAACCTCTGCTCACCACTGGCGCGCGGACCGTGGAGGGAACGGGCAGAAGATGGCTGACTCGGCCGGGCACCGCGAGCCCTCGGCGGCATCACCGGCGTCCCACGGGCCGCTGAAGAGCTCCGAGACCCCCGCCGTGTGGCGGCTGTAAACAGCTGCCTCTCTCTCTTTCCCTCACACACTCACACGCACGCACACGCGCGCACACCTCCCCTCCTCACCGCAAATATTGACAGAAGTATCGCCGAGAAAATATGGCAGAGACGGAAAAAGAGGGCAGACCTCCCGAAAATAAGAGAAGCCGCAAACCTGCTCACCCGGTGAAACGGGAAATAAACGAAGAGATGAAGGTAAAGAGTGTGTCCAGAGTGACTGCCCGTGTGTGTGTGTGTGTGTGTGTGTGTGTGTGTTCAGCCACAGGGCATTTAGGATAAGTGCGTTTGGCTGCGTAAAGACCAAACTTTGGTTTGATTTGGAGCGCACGGCGCTGAAAACGTCTCCGCAGCGCACAATGGATGGCTTATCCTCTGATGGGAAGTTAAAGGAGCCTTCTTGCGTGTTCTGATCCACTGTGAGCCCTGCCTTTCGTGGCTGAGTTCATGGAAAATCCGGTGCGTCAGTGAAGGCGTCAACAGAGCCTCTACTATTACTATTAATACGAGTTCCGCCACGGAGCCGAGGGAGCGCGTAATGAGCAAATCAATGGGGGACACTCGTCTGTTTCTGATGCCTTTCTGGGTCTCTCTCTCTCTCTGTGCATCTCTTTATGCGTGTGTGTTGACCAGCTGCCCAGAGGCGGGTGATCCAGATGTGCGCTTGGCTGATGTGGGCTTTTTTTTTTTTTTTTTTTACGCAGCACATCGTGTTCGTTTCCTCCCCGCATCTTGCTCCTCGTGGTGTTTTATTTCATTTCTTGTATCAATGTGAGCTCCTCTCGGTTCATTGTGGAGAATGAAAGTGTGAAGTGTGTGCGCGCGCGCATGTGTGTGTGAGGCAGCCCGCTTTGTCTGCATCCCCTCATTGTTTGTACACATTCGGCTGGAGACGCAGCTGCGGCCGGTGTTTCTACTATAAGCTGATGGATGTGCAACGAAAAGAACTGCAGGAATTCGGTTTTATTTTTTTAAGGCTGGCTGCAGGAAAACCTCTGGAATAAAACCTTTTGTCCTGAGTGTGGATCGTTTCCAGAGAGCATGCTTGTTTTCTGCACATACTCTTTAAAAGAAGGAGGCTTTGTTTGTGATTTTCAGCCTCCAGTTCATGTCATTTGTCCAGTTGTGCAAAATCTAACCAGTGCTGATGAAAGTGAAAGCGTTTGGCTCAATTTTTCTCACTGGAAGACAAATTTCTCTGGTTTTCTGGTCCTGATGGGAGCTGATGGGAGGTGGGGACCTGGAGGGGAGGGTCTCTTTATAAATACATTTTTTTTAAATGGGAAATAAATTCAGCTTTTTGGTTCAGGGAGCATACCCAGAATTGATTCTTTTCTCTTTCTTACAGAAAGCATCTATTTTCCCAACATATAAATAAAAAAGCCACCATAATAATTCATCACAGGATAATTGCACGATGCCAGTCATCAATCAGAGAGGATGTTTTTATCTGCAGGTCAGATTTTCTTCCTGTTTGATGGTAGATTTTATGACATTCACCAAATTGACATCTTTTATAACATGTTTGGAAGCTTTGGCATGTCATTTAAACGTCTCATTTGATGGAAGCTGGGTAATTTATCATCAGGTCTGTCTAGATTTTTTTAGAGGTTCTTGTGAAATTTAGTGGGTTTTTTTTTTAACCTGCTTCTTTAAGACTGACTTCCTGACTGCCAGTGTTACATGAAGTCATCTGTCAGGCCCTGTTTCAGGTCAGATATTGTTCATTTGTAGACCTCCACTTGGACAGATTCCTCATATTTTAGAACATGGTGCCAAAATCATGTTTTGTCAAATATTTGTTATATTTCATACATTCAGCCAAAGAAACTGGAACAAATAGGTTGTCTAGAGCTTAAAGGTACTATTTAAAATTGGTTTTTGTTCTGAGTCAACATCACTGAAATAAGGTTGAATTTGTTGGGATTGTTGAATGTTTACCGCCTGAGGGAGGGTCTTGCTGTCCTCTGTGACAAAAACGTGAAATTTGACAGACAGGAAGAAAAGGAAAGAAAGAAAGAAAATACTTTTAACTTGAGTTTAAAACCAGTCAGCAATGATGCTGACTGGATCAGCAATCCTGGATCAGGATTAAAGATTGACCAATTAATTGGCAGATCAATTTAATCAGCCAATATTAGCCATTATAAAAACCGTCAATCAGCTGCCTGTAACCATTATTGTAGTCTACAGTTTAGTCTTTTAGATGCTATTTTTAAGTTAGGCAATTATTGTTATAATTTGTTAAATGAAAAAGACATATTGACCAAAACCTTTAAAAATTGGCTTCAGCCATAAAATAAATCATACGGGTCAACCTCCATTCAGGACTGTTGTTGTTCTCAGTGACAACAGTTTAGTTTAAACCAGCTGTTAATGGGAGCGTCTTCGCCACAGCCTGAAAATAGGAGCTGAAACTCAGGGGAACAGAGGTCACAGAGCTGCCAGGACCAATGCTGGTCACCGAGGAGGGATCAATGAGTCATGTGTGCCGATCTATAACCAGTTGTCTGCTTCTTCCTTTGAGTTTTAATATCTGATCGCTTCAAATGCCAGAGCTCTTTTGAAAATAATCATACCATAGAATTGAGTGAAAAATCAGCCAAACTAAAGAAAAGTGTAGAAAGACCATCAGAAAGCCTGGAGAATTTGACCAAGACCCATTAAGAGAGATATTACATATAAAAGTGTGGCTGAAGAAATGTTGGCTGTATAGGACAAACAGTATAGATTTGTGCAAGGGGAAGTTGCGGCTGCAGTTAAGGTGTCAAAACACTTGTTTAAAAGGCTAAACGGGTTGGATTGCAGCTCTGATTCTGATTTCATCACGTAACCTACTAATACCTGCTGCTTGTCTTGATCAGGAAACGATGAAGATGAGACAGAGTCAAAAACTCCATTTACAGGAGCCGAATGGTCCAAAAAGAGCTGGTGATCCCATCACCATCCCAAGGCTGCATGGGTTCTTATATTATTTTAGTATAAATCATTGCTATTTTACTATAGAACCAAGAACGGACCACCAGTTTCAGACCAAAATTAGACACAAAGACATTCACAGATGCACAAAGTGCCCTTGTGAGGAGATCCTCTGACAAACCAAACAGTCTGACACTGTTTCTTAATGTGGTAAAATAAGCCGTCGGTGAGTAATCCAGGAGCAGGAGGAGTGGGCCTAAAAACAAGGAGAGAAAGGAATGTATACAGGGCCCGTCTGGCTAAAGCTGTAAAAACTGTAACACGAGCACCTCCGCCGGCTCAAATATCAAGGGAGAGTGGAGGGGAATGAAAGCAGAGGAGACCGAGAGGCAGTAGGGGAGTGGAAAACCAGAGGAAGCAGAGGGAACGTTGGCGTGTGGCCGTGTAGGTTCGGGAATTTTATTGCAGCGTTGGGTGACCTGCTCTGGTTTCCAGCCACAGAGTATAGGTTCCCCACCACCATCATCGTCATCATCACCGCAAAGCCTTCCGACCGTGTTTGGACCTCGCTGGAGGTAAACAAGAAGGAAGCAGAACCTCATTCTAACACAAGGCAAAAATAATATTTTAGCTCCAACAAGAACATTTATTGGGAATTGTGACATGAGCAACAGAAGGGTGACTGAACGTTTCTCCCTTTTTCTCAAAGACAAAACTACAGGTCTCAAACATCTTCTTTTTGTCTAAAATCCTAAAATCTACACCACAATACGCTGTCTCGTTCACGTGTGATGTCTGGAAATGGGTTAAAAAGCAGCCCAAGTCCAAAGAAAACTGGAGAACTTTCAGGAACCCAGAACGTTTCTTTCAGCTTTTGCTCTTGAAGCCTCGTGGTGTATTGAACTGATGGTCTCAGTTAGTTTGGTTTAAAGCAGATCATTTTTTTTATAAACCTCTAGAGGAACATATAGACGTTTGTAGCTGCCTTGGTGCTTCTTCATCTTCAGCCAAAGTTGGTGCCACAGCTTTGATGAGCTGCCAGTGAGGATTAGATGGCACTCTTAATAACACTCGTACTTTGTGGAAGTAGTGGGGTGACATGGAGGACAGGATGGTAAGAAGGAAGGGAGGGAAGACAGAGATGCTGCCTACTCTACAACTTTGATCTGTTTTCCTCAGGAGCTCATTCAGGCCGATGTTCTGCTCCAGCTCCTTTCTTCAAAAGGAGGATTTTCTCCTGAAAATAGCCGAAAGATAAAATTGTCAAAAAGCTTGGTGAAAGACAAAAGTGTCAAAGGATAGCTGAAAGCTAAAAGTACTAAAAGTAAGCTCAAATCTAAAAGTGATAAAAGAATAAATAAAAGCTACAAATAGTGAAAATCTAGCTGAAAGCTAAAAGTACTAAAAAGCAAGCTGAAAGGTAGAAGTGTCAAAAGGATAGTTGAAAGCTAAAAGTACTAAAAAAGTAAGCTGAAAGCTAAAAGAATAGATAAAAGCTACAAGTAGTCAAAAGCAAGCTGAAAGCTAAAAGTGACAAAAGGCTAACACAAAGCTAAAAGTATTAAAAACAACTAAAAACAGAAAGTTATTAAATAATAGATAAAATCTACAAGTAGTGAAAAGTTGGCTGAAAGTCAAAGGTAAGCTATCTGAAAGCTAAAAGTAGTAAAAGACTGAAAGTCAAAAGTATTGAAAGGGAAGCTGCAAAGCTCAAATACTAATAAGGCTAGCTGAAAGTTAAAAGTTTCAAAAGGCTAAAAAGCTCAAAGTAGGATAAAACAAAAACAAAGCCAATTTGCTGAAGCAGATTTTAAAGAGAACAATGTTTTATAGTCACAACAGCCATTCAGATCTTTATGTAGCTGTTTAATTAGCTGTATTTTCATATTATTTATTATTATCAATTTTCCTTAAATGGCACAAATGAACCCAATTGCTGATATCCATCTAGACAACTTGCAGAGAGCTCTGGCAAAAAGTTTTATACCAACTTTAAGAAGAAGAAGAAGAGATCACAGTATAATTATATTGGATACTGACATAAAATATTTGTATATGTAAACCAGCTACAATGATGCCTCTTAAAAACATCCATGTAAAAATCAATTTCCAGGATAAAGCCTTTTGCTCATTTGCATGTTGACATGAACACCCAGTCTCCATGAGTGACAACAGTGTTATATTTGTAACTTCAGCTTGTGGAGTTAAATCTGACTCCCAGGAAGCTTCAGGCACAAAGAGCTCTGCTGTCACTCAGCACCGTAGGAGCAGGAGCGTTCGTTACATCTGCAAACATCCGCTGTTCTCGTTAACAGCTTTCACCGCTTCAACTACCGTTTCTATGACTGATCTGGATTAGATTCAATTTACTGTAAACAGTCAGTTCAAACCCTGCTGTTAATCACAGCAAACTCCAACCATTAAGTCATGAAAACTCCAACATTTTAGCTTGAAATGAGCTCCAATTTTTCTTCAGATAAAACATGACGACGTGCACCGTTATTCCATTCACTTATCGTCCTGCCACAGTGGTGTTTCATAACAGAGTGATCAATAACTCCTGTCAATCCTCATTAATAAAACCTTCACAGCATTAAGAGTTTTTTTTTTTTTTTTTACTTCTGCATGAAATGCCATTAGCTTATGGGCTGAGTGATATAAGATACAAATAAAAACTAAATTTTATTATCCAAAATTCTTTAATGTAAGCCAATCTGCTGTAGAATATATGTATATATGTAGTATATATAGTACAGTATATATAGTAGCATATATTTGTAAGTGTATGTGTATATATATATATATATATAACTCCGGTTTCCTCCCACAGACCAAAAACATGCATGTTAGGCTGATTGGTAACTCTAAATTGTCCCTAGGTGTGAGTGAGAGAGTGAATGTTTGTTTGTGTCGTTTGTCTCTATGTGGCCCTGTGATGGACTTGCGACCCATCCAGGGTGTACCCCGCCCCTCGCACAGTGATTGCTGGACATGGGCACCAGCGACCCCCGTGACCCAAAATGGAATAAGCGGGTAAAGATAATGGATGGATGTATGGATGGATA